GAACAATACCCAGTTCATTTCCTTTTTTTTTTTTTTTTCTAAGAGGGGCTCAAAAAGATCAGGACTTTTTCTGAGTTATGGACAGTGCCCCTAAAACCCACATGAAAGTGCAAATGCCAGAGTGTTTCCTCATTTGATCCTGCTCCAAGTCTTGATGCCACAGGACGTCCCCCACCACCACTGCAAGGTCCTTCTAGTCAGAGAACAGCTGGGGATCTGTGCTGAGACAAAAGTCTTCTCCCACTTCCCATGGGATAGCATTTCTGGATTTCAAAGCTTGTTGTTTAAGTGTGTTATGGTAGGAAACAGTGGAATGAAAAAAAAGGTGGGGGGGATGTTCCTATGTGGTTAATAGCCTGCTTTTCCTCAGTGACTGTGGAGGGAAACGAGCTTCCTGCTTAAGGTGAGATGTCATTTTCTGGATGGAAACCTTTGTGTCCCGGCTGCCCTGCTCCTTTCAGTGCCACTGCTCAGGGGAGGTCTCTTCCAGTGTGATCGCTCTCCCTCCCCGGCCCTCTCCTTTCCTGGCACCTTGCTCCTGCCTTGCATCAGTCCTGATGCTGCTCAGATGAATGCTGGGGCCAGCACCAGGGAGGGGACACCACCATGTGGCTGCAAATGGGCCGGGAAAGGAGAAATGCTCATTTTGGCGCAGAGAGCCCAGCGGTCCTCACTGTACCCTTCCTCACACAACCTCAAGGCTCCAGCATCCAGGAGGATTTTGGTGTTTCACTGCTGCAGATTTCAGTGACAGCTCAGCCTGATGTGGGACCAAACTCAGATACATCAATAGCCCCAGTCCCCTGGGCTGGCCGTGCTGAGCTAGACTTTCCACCCAAGGAGAAACAATTGTCGGGTGTTACAGCACGTTTCCAAGCAAGCGAGGTGGGGCCTCGCTTTGCAAAGATCTATAAACAGCAGCTCTTTGTCTCCTCCTTTTCTCTTCACCCTGAACGTGTTGCTGTTTCCAGAGGTTGGTTTCAAAGTGCTGATTCACAGCCACCAGCCTTATTGTTTTATCTGAGGAGATTAGGGCTGAGAATGTTGTGGTTTTGTAGTGAAAAGACTCCATTGGAAATAGCAGGATATTTGACATGAGACTGTTATTTATGGTCAAATAACCATCTTGTTTAAAGATGAGGAGTCTTTTATTTTTTTCCTTTTCAAGTTTAGATCAATCATGTATGAAGAGAAACTCCCACTCAGCCTCCCCTGGCCCCTAATACTTTCATTTCATTCTTCTTCTGCTCATTATTTTATGATTTTGTCCTTGACTGGAACATTTCTCTCTTGCTCTTCCTTACATGCACCATTGAAGAAGGAAAGAACTTACATTTAAAGCTCAAGACTTGTGTAGCTCTTAAGCCATAAATAATGTTTTCTACAGATTCTAAGATTATTAAATCCTTCTAGTTAGCCTCCCTCTTATTTTACAGCTCATCTGATTAGAGGGGACATACTCTTGTTAAACTTGATTTAACTATTTCTGTTTTGCTTTTGCAAGCAGACATGAGAAAACAGGACCTGGCTGTATGCACTGCTGATCATAACACTTGCCATAAGAATGCAAAAAAAAAAGCTTGCAGCAAGAGAACTCATTGTTGGTATGGCAAAAAGCTCCAGAGAAGCCCTGCAATTCTTGAGATGTAGGTAACTTTCTAAATACAGGCAAGTCTACAAATGAAGCTAAAATCTATTTATCTGGGGAAATAAATGCAGTCAAATTACCCTTTTCTGTAAAGGGCTGTCAGACACAGAATCAGTGAAGGGAATACTTTAGTATGAGGAGATAGTTATGCTTGGGTAGTGACTGATTTTGGGCATCTGGAGGAACTGAACCATTGGGCACTGTCCTTTGCCTCCCCATCTCTGGCTTCTGTTGATACCAAGCTTGGGCTTTGCTGAGCCAGGCCTCAGCTTTTCCCTACAAATGCAGCCAAAGCAGCTGCTGCAGTTTGCAGAGATGCTGATACTGCAGCAATAAGCTGCACTTCTCCTTGATGAAATCTGCTCTGCTCAGACAGTACCTCAGGGGATGGCCCCAGAGTCAGGCCTTGCCATGTTCCAAACCACAGAACTGAGCACAGAGAGGAGAAATAGCCCTACCAGAGACAAAGCGACTGAAAAGTGCTGAAAAGCCTCACAGTAGGCAGCCTAAAACACGAAATTAGTTCCTCCAGTTAGTCCATGGTCATCAGTGAGGCAAATGCCTCTGCCTCCTGGGCCAGACAGGCCAGTGTTTTAATGGTAGACATAAATCTATTTAATTTTTCTCCTCGTGACCTAGCATATTCTGTCAGGCCAATGCATGCTCCAGAGAAGGAGCAGAATTTATGTGTACAATAAAACAATAGAGTTTCAGTGATATCAGCTGTTTGACGAACTTTAATATACATTTGCTATAAAACAGGCAGAAATTACCAGAATGTAATACCCAAATAAAATCCATGATCCATTTGCACGACAGATCTTCAATTTACTCACATTCATGTGAAAGAGACACATAAAAATGATATCCATGCTTAAAATCACTTAAAAGCAGTCTGAAAGACCCCACAGTTGCAAGTGATACCTCAGTACTTAGCTAATACTCATATTTCGATGGCTTTGCCTTCATGATTCTTCCAGTGGTTTCTTTATGTTTTCTGGTATTTTGCCAAACACCTGTGAATCAGTGCACAACAAATATTCCTGCCATTTAATTTAGCCTTGCACAGAAAGGCTATATTAGGCCTGATGCAGACCTAATCCCAAACCTCTAAAGAGGTTTAAGGCACTCTGGTTTCACCTAATCCCGAAACCTAAACCAGAATCATTGAAAACCTCCATAACACCACAGGAATGGGCAAATAGTGAGTTTCCACTATGAAATTATTAAAAGGACACAGTGTATCTTTTGGATTTGAGACCTAAAGCTTTGCCTAAGGAGCTTGGACTGTCCACAATAAAAGTGTTTATTTTGAAGTTAGGAGGTTGAAAGGTTTATTTGACTAGAGGGCTGATTTCACCCCTCCCACCCAAAAAACAAAGAGGGGTGATCACCCAGAAGAATGAAAAATAGGAAAAGGGATGAACAAGTAACAAGGGAGGGGCAGCCCAGCAAAGCAGTCAAAGATGAGACCCAGGCTTCTCTTTAAGCTCAGTCATGTCCCCTTGTGAGAAGGAGCAAGAGCACAGCCCCTTGTGCACAACTGGGCTCCTGGAACCTGAAGTTCCTCACAGCAAACATGTAAGGAAAGAGTTATTTATGATATAATAAATACATTGCTGCTGTTCAAAATAGAGGATTTGCTCTTTTGAGATCTCTTACTGATAGCAGATAACATGTAAAAACGTGCTGTAATGAAACTTTCAATTACAAACTGCATCCAACTGTAATAAATTTGATCTTGCATTAATTCATGTTAAATTAATTGGATTCTGTCATTCCTGAATTCTGGTAACCATCTTATCTTGCCATACAACTCATTATCTTTGCGTTGTGAAAGGGGTATTTCATTTCCAAGGCGACTGTAGGGAATATTAACTGTACCATATTCTAATAAGCATTTAGCCCCTGACAAATTAAAGACCTGAAGTATACTGCACATGTGGTTCCATTATATATAGCAATTTATAGCAATGATCTGCTGCTTTAAATCTCTTAATTCAAATCATTTCAGCAAAACATACAGGGAAATATGGGGCTGTGCATTAGACAATGCAGAATGTATTTATCTATGCTTATGACATTCCTCCTAATGAGAGGCATAACCTCCTCAGTGTACTGTGTTCTCATAACCACTAAATGCCATTTAAAGCCCTTTAGAGCAAGGATTTAGGAATCAGTGTTCCTACTGATGAGAAATTTGATATGAGTAGAAAAGCAAGCTCCAGATTTACCTTCCCAAACTCACAAAAAACTCCATGCCTTTGTTTGCATCAACAGAAGTGGAACAGAATAGCACTCATTTAACAGCACTAGATTTAATTCAGCTTTGAAAGACTCTGGCTCCAAAGGCAAAAGTGGTAGGAAAACTGAAAAACATGTTTTATGAGGTACCAGGCTTTCTAGCTGGAATTAAAGCAAGACAGCTTCCTGAAAAACTACATGACACAGCTTTTAATTCCTAGACAGGTGACACAAGCAAATGATGGTTTATTTGCTTTCCTTGAGCAAGTCTTGGTGTGGCTGGAGTACCTGGGCCTGTGAAAGGGGGAAGAGTACATCTCTCTGCAGTGCTGTCATTGCACACAACTGCACTGCTCTTCCCCCCATCCTGCTGAGGGTGGATGGTTCAGTAGCAGGGTTCAATTCTAATCCCACAGCAGTTTTGTTCCAACAATACACACAGGGTTATTTAACTGTTGCCTGATTTAGTTCAGCTGTGATACCTAACCAGAAACTTCCATTGGCAGTGATGTCAGGAGGCAACTTTTTTCGCTAAGGAAGCCCTCCTGCAGGACCTAGGAACTTTGTATGGCTGTGTTGTACTGAAGAATTGTGTCTTTATCCCACAACAAACCCAAGTTCACAGTGGCTCCTGGAGAAGACAAATGATTTCAGGAACGCATGGGGTTAAATGGATGCTGTGCACGCAGAGGGCCCAAACCGCGGCCCAAGGTGCACCTCATTGACCGGCCTTCCCAACCAGCTGCGGGGAATCGCCCGAGTCACAGCGGACTGGCAGCAGCGACAGCTCAACACCAGCGCCCCGGCCCAGCCCTTCCCGACTGGTTCAGAGCTCGTGTCTGGCTCCACGGAGCAGTGACACGCTCGGTCTCCCGGTGAAGGCCGGGTCCTCCCGGTTACGGAGCGTGAGGAAGCGGGCAGGCGCCAAGCCCCTCGTAGGACCCTGGGAGCGCTGCAGGCTGCCGTGAGCACGAGCCCCTGACGGAGCCCCCACGAGCCGAGCCGCGCTCGCTCCCGGCCCGCCGGGGCCCAGCAGCCGCCGGCCCCAACAGCGCGTGCGCGCCTCCCGCCGGCCCCGTGACGTCACGTGCGTGGCTCGGCGTTCCTTCGTGTCCGCCTGGCTCCCGCGGGGATCGCCGAATAATCGCTATCACGCACCCGCCCCGCCGGCTGGAAGGGTGCTCGGTGAGCAGTGGGAGGGAGGACGGGGGGACCCCGCGCTCGGCCTGGGGGGCGGTGGCGGGGCCGGATCGGGATGGGAGGGCTCCGTTGTCACCGGCGCGGCGCCGCCTCACGGGCCGGAGGAGGTGGCGGCTCTGTGCGCACGCGCGCGGCGTCGCCACGGCAACGGCGCGGTGGAGGCTCGGCCGCCGCGTGCGGGGCGCGAGACTGGGGCAACGTCACCCACCGGCCGCGGCGCGCGGCCCCTCACGGCCCCAGAGCTCCTCATGGCCCCAAAGCCCCTCACGGCCCCAGAGCCCCTCACGGCTTCTCAGAGCCCCGCCCGGACCCTCCGGGCACGGTCTCGCATAGCCACTCATGGCCTCTCGGAGCCCCTCGCGGTCCCTCACAGCCCTGCAGAGCGCCACGCAGCCCCACTCCAGCAGGGGTGGGAAGAAGCTCAAGCCGGCACGATGAGGGAGATGTCGCATCTGTGGCTGATGTGAGGCATCTGCTCAAAAAAAGTGATGTTTTGATTAGGGTCTGCATGTCCTTGGTGCTCTGCAGCAGTTTGCCTGGACAGTCTGTGCAGGAGCTCCTCTGGCAGCGGTGATACAGTGTGTGTTCCTTGAGTTCAGAATACACGCCATCAGACATCAGTATCAGCACCAAACCTAGTGGTAATGGAGCTCACAGTTCTAATGTACTGCATTTTACAACTCTCCATAATAATCCCAGTACTTTTGTGATGAATAGAAATAAGTATTTTTAAGGTATTTAAGCAACACAGACACTGGAGGTAAGGCAGGAACAGCATTGGCTGAGTGTCGAACACAGTTCTGTCCAAGGAAGGCACAGGTGGTCTCTTCCCACCATTAGCAAAAGAGTAGTGGCAGTCCTTTGGAACACGTCAAAGTGCTTTAATACCTCTCAGTTGGAAGCATTTACAAAATAAAACGTATTCTTGTAAGGTACAGTATGGTAATATGAAAAACAATGTATTTATCAACTGGTCAGAGCTCTAGCTCGGCTGGGCCCGCTCTGGGCTCGTGGCTGGCTCTGTGGGCTCGCTCGCTGTCGCCCTCTGGCGGCAGCGCGGCCGCGTTGTGCCCGCCGCGCTCGGGGACATTGCGCGCTGGCCTGCGACATTGGCGTCCTGCTGCTGTGTTTTTCTCCTCGGTAGTGCTGGTTGTTTGAAATAAGGAAACTGCCTCGTACAACTCCTTTAAATGCCAGTTTAGAGTAGAAAACAATCCCGGTTCCGGATTCAGCAGCTTCATTTTGAAATGAAAAAGGTAAAAAGCAAGCATGATGTTTGCTCTGGAAAAAAAGAGACCACACGAGATGGAAATATGTGTCTAACTTTTTCCTCTGGGAATTGTTTTGAGGAGAATTTTGCCACACTTTTTAGGGCAGACTCTTTATGACCTTTCATCCTTCCGGAGCCCCTTCCAGTAACCCCCAATTTTAGCAGCATTTCTGTGAAGCTTTTAGAGAGGGCTTCATGACTGGGAAATGTCATTTAAAAAGTGTCCTGTCTGCCTAAGTTGCAGGAAGTATAAAGAATTTTTTTAAATTTTATTTGTAACTAAATTACTAGATATTTAAAAAGCTACTAGAGCAACTTCTGCTTTTTAAATGATTCCTATTAACGTTTTTATTGATTTACAGGTAAACTAGGTTTTTTTTGTTTTAAAAATACCCGATGATCAGCAAGTCTAAACTGTTTATTCTGGCTTGGATGTGCAATTATCAGTTAAAAAGATTCTGCAGATGGAAATTATGTTGGTGCATGCACTGGAATAGATGCCTGCTTCTAATATCAGATAGATTGTCTGATTTTTGTTAATTGGTGTAGAGACTTATTTTTAAGCACTAGAACTACAATGTTGAAATTGTAAGGTATTTAGAGAGCAGATCTGTTGACTAAGTACATTTACGTCTTTTCTGAGCATTTTAGAATACTATGGGTTTCTTTCTGCAAAGAACTGTTGAGTTACTGACCTGTATATGTTCTTACATTCTAAAGAGACACATTTTTTTGCCTCTCTACCACAAAGTACATCAGGCTGTATTATGCTTCGTGTTTGTATAGGTCTTGTTTTTAATCTAAATACTATTTCTCTGCAAGCTCAGCCATAATGTAACAATGTACTGTTTCACTGGATTAGTAGTAACTGTAAACCAGTCATTGCTAATTACCTCATATGGGAAATTTAACCCTGAAGATTCTGATCTTTCAAAATTATATTCTATGAAGCACTGTCTTCATTGGGGAAAAATAGCTACTATGACTGCTGTTCTGTAATAAATTGTCTTATTGCAGCTGGATTATAGATGCATGCTAGTGCTATTTCTGGCTTTGTGAAGACAAACTTGACAAAAAAAAGGTTGAACTTTGCTTTTTGGACACTCTTTTTCAGTTGTAATGATGATACTTTTATACAAACTTGGAATCTCAACACAATATTCCATATTTGTTGTGCTTGTATGTGTTATAAAGGAAAAATGTAAGTCTAGTGGCAGTAATAGTGTTTTCCTCCCCAGAATATCTGTGTGGATGTGTGGGCATTTATACTCTCTTTGTAAGAATGCAGTTTGACTGAACTAGGATATACATGGTAGTCCAAATGAAGGATTTCAAATTAGTAATAGGTTGAAAACTCTTCAGCTACTGGGGTTTTAGTTTCCAAATTACTGGTCTCTGTGGAGTAGTGTAAGTGATCACAAAACAATGAGAATGAAACATATCTTAAAAAAAAAAACTGCACAATTTTTTGCCCAGGCAATCCAGCTTCCTTTTGAGGTCTGTGCTGGCACAGTTCTATCATTAAAAGTGCATTTTTTTTTCTTTTCATAAGCAATAAAATCATTTCACAACTGTAATGAATGCACGTCCTATGGTACATTTTAATTATATGCAGCTAATGATGGCATAGCTCGTCATTTCAAAAAATTTCTCACTGGCATTTATGACTTGATGTAAATGCTCATATATCATAGGATTATTTGAAAGAATTGAAACTTTGTGAGATGTCAGGTTTGCCATGTTGAGGAAAGTGACTCATTAAAGAAGAGGTGCTGGTTAGCAATGGGAGACTGTAGAACACACGTTACAAAAACAGGTCAACAGATTTACTTTAAAAAGCCGTGTTACTGGGTGTCATTTTAGAAAGGGATATCTTAACCTTGAAAGTTTCCAGACCACTAAACTGGAGAATCCAGGCTATATAATGATTCAGAAGCATTTCACATAGGAAACAGCCTCTTCTGCATCTCAAAAGTGAAAGTTCCAGAGGAAGTCACCTTTTCTGTAAATGGATTTACCAGCACAGGTCTTTAGAACTGTAACATCATACTGTGAGCAAATTAAGAGTTTTAGAAGAAAAAAAATCTTTAGTCAGCAAATCTTCTTTCTCATTATTTATTTTTAAAGGTCATAAGGTGACCATTACAGTAAAAAAAAAATAGTTGTTTGTACAGGATAACCTTCCCAGATGAGATGCAACCCTGTCCTAAACCTCTGGGTCTGCAGCCTGAGTTTCCCAGAGTCGCTGGGTGACAGCTGAGTGTAAGGTAAAGCTGAGCAAGAACTACTTGGAAAAGAAACATAGACTAATGTTTAGCTTTTCTTTTTGTTTTAGTTATTCCATAGTTTTTCAGTAGATGCTGAATTTCTTTGATTTAGGGGAGGGAAGGATTTTGCTTTAAAACACAAGATAGGAATCTTAGGACAGACTTTTCACACTCAGACAGCTGGAGCAGCTGTAGATTCCCCACTGAAATGAAAATGCAACAATTCAAGATTTAGAAAGGCAAAAAGTGTGACCAGAGCATTAAATAGAAGGGCCATATGATACCAAAATTAAGCTCTGTGTTTATTATAAAGAAAATCCTTGTTTTAGAAGGGAAAAAAATGAACTTGTTCCACCACTTTCTTTTTTCCTCAGGAGAAAACACAGAATATATCCTAGGTAATAAATCTGTTTTATGGCTCACATGAGAAAGGGTGGAGAAACTCCCATTATTTTCTTCCCAGAAATTGAAATACACATGAGCTAACATGGGAGACACTGGGATTTTCATCCAACAAATGCACAGCTGGCTTCTGCTTTTATTATTTTTCTAAGCCTAATAATTTTTCATTTGATTAGCTGGTGGCTGACAAAACTATCACTTGCACAGTGTTTTGTATATTTAGTAGAGTAGGTGTGATGCGAAAAAGATACTGTAATGCATGCCCAGAAGCATAGCACGACTTGTTCAGTTGATGAGAAATTTCTGCTTTCTGCTCTTCTTAAAATGCAAGTTTCTATCATCAACATTGGAGTTTGAATATCAAGAAAGGAACTTCTTGATCTCTAGAAACAGGAAAATTCTGTAAGATGTGAGGATTATTTTTTCTTAATTCACGTTATGGAACTGTTTGATGCTGTGCACATAGAAATAAATTGGTAGGAGTCAGTTGGCAGTCCACAGTGCCAATTTTGCTGTGAGAAAGCAGTGAGACTATTTGAGAGAAGAACTGTCCTAGTCAGTGTTAAGAGGTGGGAAAAATAGAGCTGCAAACAAGATTTATCTAGGACTGTACACACAGTGTGAGCTGTGGAGAGAACCATAGACACAATGTGAAAAGAGCAACAGCAGCCACCCACAAACCTACCCAGACAATGAGAAAAAGTGAGCACAGACATAAAGGTGGGAGAATAGGAGCCATTTAAGAATGAGGTTCCTCAGAGCCATGTCTGGGCAGACCTCTGTAAAGCCATGGATTCTCAGTTTGAAATCAGGAGGGAGAATGCCTATGAGAACTCCTTCGTGTGCCTTCTGCAGAATAAACAAACATATTTAAGAATCCAGTGTGCTGTTTTGCATTGACCATTAATGGCAGGGACAAAGCAGACTGGTTTCTCCTGTGTTGACTCCTGGTGTTTGAAGTGCTAAGCTGTGTTACTGTCTGTGTGTTCTGGGAGAAGCAATGATAACACCTTCCCTAAGTAAGCAGCGGGGGAAGAAGGCTGCAG